TTTGGATTTGATCAAATAAATCATTCTTTGATTTGAATTTAATCAAATCAAATATTCAAATATCAAATTGAATTGCGGAACCCTACCATCTATGATGTTAAAACTTTGCACAAATTAATTTCTATTTTATGCTTTACTATATAATAAAAAACTTAAAAATGGAATACTTTAAATCCTTTATCTTAGTCTGGTAAACAAAAAAAAACTTTTTCTTAAAAAATATCATTTCTTGGTCATCTTATTTTAGCAAATAAATTTGTTACATATGCTGAACTTAATATTTTAAATGATAATTATACCAACTTAAATGTAACTAATTAGATTATGCTTAATTAATTTAATAATTTTAATTACTTTAATACTATTTCAAAATCTATATTCTTATTAATTGACTAATACAAGCTTTATAGAGTGGAGTTTGTTATAAAATACAAAAGATAAAATTGGAATAATATTATTTTTTCTAATAAAAACATATTCTAGATATTTCAAAATATTTAGAAAGTTTTTTACAAGAACAGTACATAACCTTCACACAAATCTATGATAAAATATCTATATAAAGTTCATGTATATAATGCCTTTTTAGTAAAAGGTTTGATTAGTTTTCTTTTTTTACAGAAATAATAAATAGGTATTTTTATTGTGAAATTTTGATTGTAAACCTATTTGAAAATGCAAATTCTATCATGAAAAGGTGTTAGATATTCCAACAGGATAATGATCCTAAACATATGGCTAAGAAAACAAAAAAGCTTCTTTTTAAATATTGTTCAAGGTTGTTAGACTGGCTATTAAATAGCTCAAATTTCAATCCACTTGAAAATTTATGGGTAATTTTGAAGGAATATGTAAAGAAGCAAGTTAACAAACTGATTCTTAAAAAAAACAGTAACTATAAATGCTTTTTGTGAAATAATCTAAGAGGAATAGAAGGAAATTGAGTTAGAATTTTTCTTAATTTAGTTCATAGTATGAAATCAAGATTAGAACTACTAATTGAGAATGATGGTAATAAGATATTCTATTAAGTATTCTTAAGTAAACTTATTTGTAGGATTATAAAGGAAGTATATATAAATTTTATTTGTTTATGATACTTATTTATTTTTTAATTAATGATAATGTGATTCTAATTATTTTTTTTGACCATTGTATATGCATTGTTCTTATCTGTTAAAAATCTGTTATCAACCTATTATAAATCTAACAAGTTAATAGTTAAACTAAATTGGTCTAATTTAAAAATTGGATTTGAATTCTTTAATAAACTTTACTTGAATAGTTGTTTTCATAATAGATAGATTCAGTTTAATCATGTCTAAACACTAGTGTATTTTATCTCTTAGAATCTGGTATGACTTGAAAGTGCATTACCAATAAATAAGAAGAAATGAATTGTAGGTTAAGCATTTAGGGATGATTTCGATTACATCTATGATATTATATCAACAGAAACGGAGTGACATTTTATATATACTCCAGATGGTATTTACTCTACTATTGGTAACGAGTGCTAAATTAATCTCACAAAGTCTAGCATTAAAGAAAATCCTAAATTACTTTGAAGTAACGTGAAAGGAATAATTTGTATTATTGTTAGGTTGTTAAAAGTTCATGTTAGCGTTAATAGTTCTCTAGCTAGCAAGAGGTTAGGATCAAAAAAATTCATCAATGAATAATATATATTACAGGTATAGTCCCGACCTTTGTATTTATTTTTCACATGTATTTAATAAAAAATTTTTTTGCAAATTTCAGGTCAGAAAAATTATATGATTTTTTTTATTTTGAATGATTTCATATAAGACATAAAAAAGTATTTTTAAAATGGATTCTGAGATTGACTTAGGCAAGAAAATGCTAGACTTAGGACTGAGAATACAAAGCTAAGAGCCAAGCTTAAGAGCAGATTGAAAAGGTAAGGCAGATACCACTGCTGAGAATGCTGAGCTTAAGGTCAGAATCGAAGAGTTGGAAAAATATAAAGCAGATTCTTCTGCTTAAAATGCTGAACTTAGAGATAGGGTTACAAAGTTAGAACAGGATTACGGACGAACATGAAATTATATTTCTCATGAGGAAGTTGACGTTAGCTCTCTTGACACAGGGACCATTATGAACCAACGTGTTAATGAATCATCATCTCCATCTTCTTGCATGAGAGAGCAGAAGTCATTAGAGGGTAAAGAGATGGAGTCATTAGAGGATAAAAAGACGAATGTTTTCTTAGATGAAGTACATAAGAAAAGTGTTAGTAACGAAATTTGGAAACGCAATAAGGAAAAGAAACTTCTGCGAGCTACTGATCGCACCAAAATAGCAACGTGCCCTTTAAACATGCGCAGTACATGTCTGATATCATTGTTTCACAATTAAGTTTAATGATGTATATACTGTATCATTCGCAAATTTTTTTTATTCAATCTCAATAAAATGCCCACACACGAATATTTTAATCGTAAACATTTTGATTGGAGTGTCATTAGCTTTTTAAACAAAAGTAAAGAAGAACCGTTTCAACTAAAAATAGGTCTCTATATAAAAAATCTTGAGGAAATTGATGACCATGAACAAGGAAATAGACGAGAAATGACACGACTTCTACTTGTTAGATACAAGAACAATTCTTTTGTGAAATAATTACTGATTTTCATAAGTATTTACTAGGATCCTCGACCAGATTATAAACAGTCAAGGGATTGGGAAGAGAAGCGTTCAAAAGAGATCAGTGTACCCTCAACCATCCAGCAGGGTGGACATACTTCATATTATCACATTTGTTGATCATTTTGCCGATCATTTGCCGATCATTTGCCGATCA